GGGTAAGTTAGCATATAATACAATACTTATATTTGTTATTTATTATGCTACAAAAGGTTTACTAAAATTTGATACTGTATAAGTATAACTTCTTATCATTAATATTTGCTATCAAACTATACTTCTTTAATTCAATTTGCTCAGTGCAAAATAGCAGGAATGGACATTATTTGAATTTTGGCTCGAACTAAATTTAGTTTGACCAAATTTAGTAATTTTACTCTTAAGAGTTATTTCAAAATCTTCAGTATCAATTTTTATTTTTAATTACTAAAAAGAGATAACACCAAGTGCTATCTAACACACTAGTATTTTATAAATTTAATCTGTTATTTTTTATTAGTTATTAGGATCAGTCTGAAAAAGCCACCTGTGCTATATAAACAATTTTGGCATACTTATAAATTTATGTTCCTGGTTTTGCATAATAGTATTGCATAGCTACCTTATTTGTTTATTATAAAAACTTAATAGTACTTCAACAATGGCTTAATAGCAGTTATCTAGAATCTATTAATATATATTTATAAAATTTTAATAAACATATATGTGCATTATTTTAACACAACTATGTAGTAATAATTTAATTTCATAGCTATTAGATTATTTCGAATTTATTCTGTTATGCTATCATATAACTTAACAGTCCCACAGACCTGCACAAATTCTTTAGAGGCTATCGGAGTATAAACTAAGTTTAATTTCCTTTTTTTATTTTTATATTTTTATAATAATAATAATAGTGATTACTTGATATTCAGGTTTACCAGTTTGAATAAGCAAAAAATCTTGACCAGCTTTAATAATCAATAGCCTGTATTAGCTAAAGGCTTGCTTATACTAAATTTTATGTGATAATACTCTTCTACAGAATCATTTCTTATAGTAGATTTTTAATTAACAGTTAATAACTGTCACAAATCATAATTTAAAATGAAATCTATATTTTCTACTCAATTTGTTAACTTTCTAAAACCTACTTATACTTGTTTATTATAATTTTACTTTAAAATTAACCCTAACTCTAACTCCTATTTTTAAAAAATATATTCCAAAAAATTTTATTTTTCAAAATTTTATATTATAATTTCATTTTGATCTGGATTTCTGTTACAATAACTATGTATTTTAGAACTTTTTTCTTACCTTATATAAGATCCTGTGATAAAAATAGAACTTAAAAAGTTTATAAGAGTAATGAGTATAATGTTTTTTATCAGTAGTTTAGTCCAAATTCATATGTTGCAGAAACTTGAAATCTTTGCTATCTCTAAGATCATTAGATCTAAACCTATCTTAAGCAATTGTTGAATCTAAGGGTTAATTTTACCAGAAAAAATAACAAAATAGGCTCAGTATTTGAAACTTATAACTGAGCGGAATTGCTTTTTGAAACAAAAACTGGCATTAAACTTGGGTAACATAATTACTAATGTATTTTATTTTTTAGATCTAGTGAACCGAATAGTATAAAAATAAGCGAGTTTCTACCTTAAGATAAGTTAGCAATAACATTATTTTTGCTTATATATACTTAATTTACTTGTTCATAATTTATTTTTAAAGTAATTTTGCTAGTTTATTTAACAAAATTTATAAAGATGAATTTTTACTTATCATGATTTTTTTTATATTCAGATACAAAAAATGAGTATTAACAATAGTACCACCTTCAAGACCAACAATATCACTATCCTCAAAACCAATGATAATATCACTTCCAAGACCAATAATAGTAATACCCCAAGACTAATAGCTTCAATTCAAAAAGTGATCAAAAAAAGCTATCTGGTATAGGCATAATTTTTGAATATCAAATACTGTGTAATTACCCTGGTATCAACTCTATAATATTTTCAAAAGTAATAAAAATTCACAGTTATTATGGCCTTTGATTTTTTATTTGTATTTGTATTATTTTATTTGTATATTGCTATTCTGGCAAAAAAAAATTTTATTAAATAAAGAAGAAAGTCCTGTAGCCTTTCTATATTTTATTTTTATGTGATTTTTACAATATAATTTGTGATTATTAATTAGTGAAGACTATTAAGTTAACTTTATTAATTTGCTATTATGTGATTTAATATTGCATATTAATATGCACCAATTATATAATTAGAATTTTTATAAAATTTTTTCTGCTACTTAAATTATAATAATAATCTCTATTAGATTCACTATATTCATTATATCTACTACATCTACTATATTTATTGTTATCCAATTTATCTAGTATTTCTTCTTCAGAAACGCTAGAATTGTTTTTACTATCTGACTTATTTTTATTTGTTTCCTCCTGTAAATCCTCATCAAAATACACATCATCATAGACATTATTTGCCTTAATAGGAGTTATTTGAGACACAAGTAATAAATTATCTGAAGAATTAGAAATAGTCTCTTTGAAACTGATTTGCTTTAATCAAGCAATTTCTTCATATAAAATCATATTGTGAATCAGGTAATTCAAGTCTATCAATTTATCAAAATTAGAGTTAGAGTCAGAGTCAATATTATCTGAATCAGAGTCATCATCATTGTGGTTATTTGCTTTAGCTAAAGTTTTTATATTTATTGATATTTTGTTCTGTCTTTCTTTTACTATCCTAGCCTCTTCTTTCTTAAAAGCTTTCATTAGCATTTTATCAAAATTATCATCGTCTCCCTTAAATAGAGCAATTTGAGGTATAAATGATGAATTTTTCTTCAGATGTGAGCAAGATTTTTTTAAAAATTTCAGTTGTATAATCTGTTACTAGAGGTAATTTTTTTTTAAAGATCTATAATCTATAACCTCTTGAATTTGCTTATTAGTAAGCTCTAAAATAAAAGTTGTACTATAAGATTTAATATACTTAATTTTATCTAAAGGAAGGAACAGAAATCAGGTGATCTCAATTTACTAAGAGGCTATACCTCCACCCCACCTGATTTAAATATTAGCCAATTAAATTTAACTACAAAATATAAGATCTGATCGAATTACAAACCCCCACCCTCTAAAAAATCAGCTGATTTTTGTTCCTTCCCTAAGCTCACTTGTTCGATAAATTTATAGACTTTCTTAACTCTTTGAGTTTTTTTGTATAAACTATTTCATAATATATCTCAAAGATATAACACCATTTCTTGAAATTTTTGTTTATGAAGCAAATTAAGCTATTTTGTAATAGAATTATATAGTAAGCCTCTTGTCTTCTTTTTACTAAATTTATCTCCACTATTTTCTATAATTCTATTAAGCTGAATTATGAAATCTTTTACATAGAGGTACTAGCATAAAATTTCTTCCTGATTAGCTTGATTTGCTTTATCTTTAGTATTAAAAGTTTTATCACATAATTGAGCTAGATAATATAAGGCCTCACCAATACTAGATTTGTTATCAGAGGTAAGTTTTTTAAAACATAATGTTTTAGAAATTTTAGTTATATACTTCGTACCTTTTGACTGATTTTGTTTTCTTGTATAGACAACTCTGAAGTAAATAATTCTTGTTTAAGCTTATTTATACCTTTTCTCTTCTTGCACTTTGAATCCTGTTCACTACATATTTTTTTTTTTGAAAATACTTCTCTGCTATCTGAATTAGTTAATATTTTTGATGATGTGCTATTGTATAGCTGAGTAATCAAGTCGAGAACTTGAGGTCTTTTCTTTTCAGAAAATATTAGAAGAGACTCCTGGGCTTAAAGTTTTTTCTCCTTATTGCATTGTCTAATCTCATTACTAATCTTTTTTTTATGCATTTTATCTAAAAAAGCATCTGTTTACTTATCTTCTAAGAATATCTGATTATATTGGTCTATAATAGATATATTAATAGCTGATACTGATTGCTTTGCAACCATCTCTGGAATCAATTCTTCAGGTAATGAAGTATCTATTTCTATAGATAACTAATTTGCAAGCAAATTGAAGTTAGACAAGCTATTATTAAAAAATTAATTACTTTAGAAACATTATCACTTAGCATCTGTCTCTGCTCTATTTTTGTGATCCTATCTCTAAATTCTGTATTTTCAGACTCAAGTTTAGCTATAACTGTCTTATTTTTCTCTAGCTCTACAATTATGGTGTTAAGTTTGTCAATCTTAACTGAATAATATGATATAGTTTCTTCCAACTTCTTAGTTCTGGCTTTAAGCTCCTGTCTCAGTTTTGTTTTCTTAACCTTATTCTCAGCAATCTTCTTCCTAAGCTTACAAATCTTAGCTAAGAGCTTGGTATTTAATTCTTTTAATAAATTATTGGGTTAAATGCTTGATATAATGGATGGTATTTTTATATAAGATATAAAATATTTAATAGTCCGTTAGTATATAAAAGATATGTTATAATATCGATAATTATTCATTTTGTAATAAAAATTTGTAGGACTGCATAGTCTTAGAAAATTGTTAAGAAAAAATTTTTTTATTAATATACTTAGATTTTTATTTTATATTGACACTTTTGCTAAGAAAAATTTTAAAATTCCTAATTATATGCAAGTTAATAAACATCAATATCAATATAATAAATAAATTTACTCAATATATACATGCAAAAGTAAACTGATTATTTATATAAAATTGAGCTATCAGGGCTAGCTTTATTAATAAGAAAAGTAAAAAAATATATACAATGAATTAAATAATGATAAAAAAAATAAAAAAAATATATACAATAGATTAAACAAATTTATGATAAGAGGGAAAAGGTATAAGGTTTATTATGTAACTTATCAAGAACTGTATTGATCAAATATTTAGGCAATTAGTCTATATCTGTCATGATAATAGAATATAGTAGTTGTTTTAATAATTCTGATTCTAATAGTTTCGACTCCAATAGTTCTGGCAGTTTTGCTATCTCTAGTGCTATATTTATTGTGCTAAGAGTAAAGCTATCTATAGAGAGACTCGCAATTATTCTAATAGTTATTTGGTTCAAGTAAGCACACCAAGCAACTTATCTACAACCGGGCAATCTGTGAATATATTTAATATATTAATTAAATTTTTTAATAATTTTAACCTAAACATCTAATTTAATATAATAATACCTATATTGAGTCTGACCCAATTTTTATATTGGATAATAAATCATATCATGACAATTTTACATATAATATCGATGCTATCATTACCTGATCTTTTAAATTAAAATAAAATATAAATACTTGTATTATAATCATCAACTAATCAAAGAAGTTGCATAGACAAAATAGTCAACAACAGTGCTTTCTATGTTAGAGTATATTCTATTCATCATAAATTCCTAGTGTCTAAGTATCTCGAGAATATCAAAAACTAAAAAAAGAATGTTCACTGCTAAAACAGTAGTTACGATATGTTTTCAATTTCTTACTAGATATTTATACCAATATGATAGTATAACTTCGAATATACAACAACTCAACAAATAACTCAGTGAAAAACTTACTCTTTATAAATAACTTTAACACCAATGCTCTTTAGCATTTCAACAAGATCTACTTCAAATATTAATTTTTTTATATAAAATATTTGTACAATCACTACTACAAGAGCAACAGTCTTTTCTTCAATATAAACAAATTCTTCAAAGTCAAAAATCATTTGAAATATTAATCAAAAACAATGAAAAAATAAAACAGAATCACTGTAAAGTGACAAACTTCTATAATTTCATTATACTTCCTTTTATAAATAGATTTTACTTATCTCTGAATAGCAATACAAATGGCATGATAATAGCAGAAAAAGAACCTATATCAGCAAATTTAAAGGTACAAAATATTGCGAAAAAATTTGTGATATGAAAAAATTGTGAAAAAAATATGCAATATATTTCGAAATATTTCGAAAAATAATAATTTCAAAATATTTCAGAGAAAATATTTGAAATATATTACAAAATATTTCAAAATATCATATTTTGAAATATTTTAAAATTATTATAATTATTATAGAACCTTAAATATTATTTATTATATTAGTTTTACTATATTTAATATAATTATATAAAAAAATATACTGTAATAAAAGTTCAGAATAGTATAGTCAAACCCTCTATAGTCACACCTTTAGAATATAATAAATCATGATTATAAAGAGATATAACTAATATAGAGGTATTTTTTATATAGTTATAAAAATTGGTAAAAATGAATTTGTAATTAGTGACTATAAGGAAGTAACTATAGTGGAGGTTGATTATATTTCTAAAACAATTAAATTATATATGATATGCAAAATTATGCAGATATATTCAAATAAATTAAATTTACTTAAAATGTTCATTGTTTTCAATATGGATAAATTTGATAAAAAAATTTTAAAACTCTAATTTGAAGTATTATTTAAATTAATTATAGATTAGTCTAAAAAAAAATCATTTATTAGTATAAATACGTATCTTTTTTTATCAGAAATATTAAATTAATATTTTTAATATTTAGCAAATAAATTCAAATAATTTTAAAATACTATTTATAGAGCATTGTAAATAAAAAGTCAATAAAAATGAAGATTATATGAATAAAATTTGATTACTTAGAAACTCTGATTACATAGAAACATAAAGTTCAGAATATAATTTACAAAACAAATGTATTATGTATGAAATATAAATATATGCAGTTATATTCTAATAAATTAAAATTTACTATAATTGTTCATTTGATTTCAACATGTATTAATTTAACAATAAAAAATTTTGACTTTAATAGATTAGTTGAATAGTAGTTTACTTTTTTTGTATAAGTATATACTTTTATTAAAAAATTTAAAATGATATTTTTATATTTAATGAATATATTTAAATAATTTTAAAATAGTTTTATAAAAGCATTGTAAATGAAAAGTAAATAAAATGAAGGTAATTATGAAAATATTCAAATAAAATAAATTTTTAATTTATTTAAAATAATTCAAAATATATTTGAATATATTCAGATAACAGGTTTAATATTATAATATAATATACAGATATATTTTGATTATATAAAAACTTGATTACATAGAAATATTAAATATATTATAAAATTCTTGAATAGAATTTACGAACAATTAAATTATGCTCAAAATGCAAATATATTCAGTTAACAGATATAATATTATAATATAATATACAAATACATTTTAATTATATAGAAACTTGATTACATAAAAACATTAAATATATTATAAAATTACTAAATAGAATTTACGAACAATTAAATTATGCTCGAAATACAAATATATTCAGTTAACAGATTTAATATTATAATATAATATACAGATATATTTTGATTACATAGTAACTTGATTACTTAGAAATATTAAATATATTATAAAAGTCCTGAATAGAAATTTTAAACAATTAAATTATGCTTGAAATGCAAAGATATGTGATATGATTTAATAAATTAAAATTTACTATAATTGTTTAATTGATTTCAATGCGTATTAATTTAATAATAAATATTTTGAAACAAATCGCATACTCGTCAACTCTTTCTGCTGATCATCAAAACACAAAATTTCTGAAAAATAAAAATTAACAAAAACTTAAAAAACACACAAGAGTTACTAAGAAACTAATCTCGGGCTCCTAAGTAAAGAGGAAGAGAACAACAAAAAACACTTAATCTCTTAAGAGACTTGAATAAGAAAAACAGAAGCGGCAAAGAAATAGAAGAAGTCGTAAAAAATCATCGATATTTTTTTGCACTTTGCGAACTTGGGGGAATCGGCCTTGACCCTAAATTGCAGATCTGTTTTGGTAATACAAGAATCACAACACATAATGAAAAATAAACAAAGTAAACATGACAAAACTACGTGATGAAA